CTGACAGATATAACAAAAAAAAAAAAACTAAACCAACATTTTGGTTTAAAGCTGTTTCTGACCCTGAACCAACTACGGCCTTAAAGCTGAGGTTCTACCTGATGCTGGTCGGTTCTGACCCGGTAAACTCTGTCACATTTAAACAGGTTTTATTTATTTATTATTATTTTCAGCGATTTTAAAAACTAAATATAAATAAATTAAATAAAACCGGTTTGCAGCTAAAATAAAACTGGTTTTATTTTATTTAAGCTGGAAGAAGGCAGAATCTGGGTTTCATGACTCAGACTGGACTGTGAATCTTCTGCTCTGCACCTCCAGACGAACCCCTCAGCTCTGCAAACTGTTGGTTTCTGGGATGAGACGAAGAAGAATCCCTTCATGCTTCACAAACAGAACCAAAGGGGCCAAGCGGGTCACAACGGCCCGTTCTGTTCAGAGTGAAGCCGTCTGGAGCTGGGAACAAAGAGCTATTCATCCCCGGCTGGAGTTCCTTTCACAGACAGACTAACATGAGGAGTAAAAACAGCCCAAACAGAACAAAGTCTGCTGAAAATGTGTTTACCAGCTCAGTTCTGGTGGATCAGGAACCAGACTGCGAGATCAGATCCGGAGCTGAACTCTAAATGTTGCAATAAAAATTCCATTCTGTTCATTTTAAGATTATTTCTATAGCGCAAATTAAAAACACGTACATTTCAAGGCACTTTCCAGTTCATCAGATCATCCAGTCAGATTCATTCAAAGTTTTCTATCTAAGGAAAACCAGCTGATTCCATCGACTCATTGACTCAAATACAATCCCTCACACTAAGCATGCTTGTAGCAACAGTGGAGAGGAAAAACTCCCCATTTAACAGGTAGAAACCTCCAGCAGAACCAGGCTCAGTGTGAGCGGCCATCTGCTGAGGCCCACTGGGGTTCAAGGAGACAGAAGCAGAGATAGAAAAGCAGCTCTAAAAAGGCTATAACACCATGAATACATTGGAATCATTTGAAAAAATAGCACATTAATAACAAAAAAGTAGGTTGCAATTTGTGAAGTTTTCCAAACTTTCCTTCTAAAAAATGAGTAAAGCAGATGGAGCATCATAGGTGTTTATTAGGGATGCATACTGGGCAGCTCTTGCTTCAACTGGTTTTGCTGGTGAGGGGTTTGTTCAATGTCAACCAGCCAATAACAAGAGCTCTAATTATTTTTCTTTAGTATTTCTAAAATGGACAGAATTATATTATTTTCAAATATCAAAATGTTTGCATTTATTAAATCATACTTGCAACCAGTCTGATAACTTTTCTAAAAGTTATTGTGATTTGGATCTTTGTTTATAAACTATGGCAGAGGATAAGGGCCACTGAAAAAGAAAATAAAAAGTTATTTCAGTTTAATATGATAAAAAACTCAGAATTCTGACTTTAATCTCAGATTTCTGACTTTTTTCTCAAATTTCTGACTGAATTCTGACAGCTAACAAACATGTTAGCATCAAGCCATAGCAATGTCTGTTTTAGAGACTAGCTCTCTTGTTTTAATCACCTTCTCCTCTTCCATTAATGAAATTGTATCACCAGGGATCCCTCGGACACGTAAAAAGTTGTCTAATTCCGTTATTTTCCACCGATGTGTCACTGTCCCTCCCAAACAACTCACATCTTTGTCAGTGAAGCTGAGTGCTCCCACATCTCTTCCTTCATGGTGCCCATCTACATTAAGATCCAAAATCCTCAGGTTAAAGTCAGAATTCTGAGGAAAGTCAGAATTCTGAGCTTAAAATCAGAATTCTAAGAAAGAAAGTCAAAATACTGAGATTAAAGTCAGAATTCTGTGAAAAAAAGTCAGAATTCTGAGAAAAAAGTCAGAATTCTGAGGAAAGAAAAACAGTCAGAATTCTGAGAATATTGAATATTCTCTATTAAACTAAAATAAAATTTGAATATCAATTAACTTTTCTTATTTTTTTAAGTGGTCCTAATTCTCTTCCAATAATGAAAATTAAAAATTATTTAATAACGTTTTTTATTGGGTTATTTGTTACTGGTATATTTGACCAGTCCAGTTTAATGGGCAGGGATTGCTTATTTAGTTTTAAAT